GACGTCCCAGGAAGTAGAATGATGTAGACGAGATACTTATCGAACGGTGGATTGGAAAAAAATAGGAATTAGACAGTATAGCGAAAGAATATAGACTAGAAGGTCGTAAACGAGATAATTGGATTTGGGTACATTGATTGCAATTGTTTAAATCGCTTTTGTTGTTATTGTTATTGTTTCTTCATTTATTTTGGTACCATGACTCAATTAGAATGACTCTTGATATACCCACTGACTTCCATACTCGGCCTACGTGGCTTTACTCATTACTCATAAGGTGTGCATCTATAATAGATTTTTTATATATTTGCTGCACCTCCAAATTTGTTCTTCTCCTGTGCAATCCATCTTTTTAAATAGGGTTAAATAAGAATTTTTTTTCTGATAATAATATAATTTCTAAGTGTTGGAATATAATTAAATTTAACAATGTTGTAAAATATAATAAATAAACAATTTTTTTAAATGGAAAACTACAAAACTATAAATTTTTTAAGAGACCTTAAAATGTATTATTATTATATTTAAGCACGTCCGAAATTAAAATGAAACTTGTAGAAACCACCTATTATGAGCGGCAAAGTGATGTAAAAATAGGTATGATATTGTTTCGCGATTAAGATAAATCGTTCAGTGATTATCTTGAAAACAGCAGTAATGTAAGTATAATGTATTGATATTAAGTAGGAATGTAGCATAGCAAGCACGTCTATTAACAAAGAATGAGTCTTCAAACATTTTAAATAACTTAACCTAATCTATCTTTACTGGCTTCCTAAATGTATAAGGTTTTGTTAAATCTTACTGTCCATAAACTTGCTTAGTAAAAACATGTTGAAATTGTTTACTTCCTTAACACAGAATGAGAAAGAAAAGTTACCAAGTTCTGCCTTAATGCGAAAATGATTAGAAAGGTTGCTAGTAAAATATACATTCGGTTTTTACCAGGAACAACCAAAAACCAAACTTATATCCATTTTTAACAATTTTTGTACTTTTTCCAGACTACATAAACCAACACGAAGAATCTAGGATCTGCTATCATAAATATACATTGACATGTCTCAATAGTTAATAAACGAATAAACAATCTAATGTAAAAATTACAGAAATTATTGTACAATATATTAACTCTGCAACTTATGGGATTTTATTTAATGTTTTGCTAGTAAACGCTGCTTAAATAAAAACGGTTAACCCACTTGAGTGCCCAAAATACTTTCTATGATGTATATCAATGTCGCCAAACTTAAATCAAGTATTACATTTTAATCAATAAAGTACGTTGATCTAACGACAAAATGATATTAAAAAGTGTCATTGTTAGAATCTAATTTTTGTTTGAAAACTTTTTAGTTATATGAAAAATTCCAAGGTTATAACATGTATGATCAAAAGTCGAAAATTTTATCGAATCTAATATTCAGGTATTTACCCAACTATTGAGTCTACTATCTGGTAGGTATAACATTTACATAACATGTGCGTACATAGATAATATTTTATTATTATTTAACAACTACTGCCATAAGTAGTCCGTAAACAATTAGTAAATTTGAATAAAAAAAAAAATACCTTGCGCAAACGATTACATACAATGGCTACGTGTATGGCTACGACGGATATTCATAAAGCAAAAAGCCAGTACAATGGGATTGGGACTTGAGTTAGACCTAGATGTCTGAATGTGTTAAAATCACTTTCAAATAAACGTTTCGATGCGAATCTGTAGAAATACAACTATCTATAATAGGATTGCAGTGACAACAGTGTTTGATGTACTTAATATTGTATTTTTACAATCAGGGTGGTTACGTTTAAGGTTGAACCGTTTTTCTCCAATAATTTGTAGACGTTGTTATTCATGTATACGACATTTTACTCATTCCAACCTACAAACTTACAAAGTGTTAATTCCCCATGTTTGGTCTTTCCTTAAAAAATTCACCACAGATTTTTAACCAAATTATATATGACGTTATTGCTCCATTCTAGAAACAATCTTTGAAATACTGAAGAAAACCATTTTATTTTTTTATATAATAGAAATCAAAACTGTAGCTATGGTCAATCTTGAAGGGATTTTACATAAGCTTTCAAACGCCAGTAGTAAGAAACGCGTGCCCTAAAAGTGTACAGAGTCAAGCACAGTTAAAATAAAAACATATTATATCTTGTGCGTTATTTAAATGGATAATGAAGGATCCTTTGCGGCTACTTTATCGGAATTAAGTAGCTATTAACATTACATAATTGCTACCGCCAAATTAAAAATTTCAAAATAGACGATGCTATTGTAACCTATCCTAACCTGGGGTGGGTGTCCATAATATTTTTTTGCCTCTCCTACTAGACTTTAGTCGGCGTCACCGCCTATCAATTAATGGTGGAGTGCAGTATAATTATTATTATAAGCGATTTTTAAACATACAACCAAACCTTTTTTAATCATAAATTAAGAAGATATTATTTTTGGTGGCGTTTTTTGGATTTTAGACCACTGTGCGACGCAGAACGACTAATACACCAGCTAGTTGTGTACACAAAATTGCCTATACCCCACGCCCGTCGCGTGGACACATTTCTTCGAAGGTAAACCAACATACTTTCCATAATATACTATTCAATTGCGAAATTATTATCGATTCAAGCAGCCGATAGACTACGGACAAATATGAAATACCGCTCTTTGGACGTCGGTGAAAAAAAAACAAAAAAAAACAATGGTTTTGAATGTTCAAAACGTGTCAATTTCAGCAGAAGTAGGTGTTTGAACAGCAGTTAAAAAAAACTATATTTTGGCAATTGTGTTTGTTCACGGTTATCCGACACACCGCGGTGTGTGTACATACGGTTAAAAATTATACATCAACTTAGGTTAGTGCAAGGAATCGGCAGCAAAAATAATTATTGCATATTACACATCTACCTATTATTCCTCTTGCTCGATATTGTAGGCCAAACAAAAAGTGTTATCGCCTGTCTTGAGGGGATCGCATGCTGTCTGGTCTTAAGGAGTTTTGTGTAGGTAATATTCAAAAAAAAAATCATTGTCATTTATTTTACGGTTAGTTTGTATAAGATTCCAATTTTAATAATTTTTGCTACGAGTAAAAGTCATTTTGGATTATTTTAGACCAAAAAGCCAGACAACATTTTTACTACACAGGATGGTCATAATATTATGTCCATAATACATAATAATATGTAAATTGCCTAACGCAGTTTTATTAAACATGATATTTTAAACGTTTGATTTTGTATGATATTTCGGCCAAAACTTCCTAACTTCTACGTTGACAATAAAATTTCCAAGATAACATTATTTTATTAAAAACTAAACTGGTGAAAAGGGGTCTTATTTTTCATCCTGATTATGCACCACAAAAAACGACACTGTAACAATATGATGTCCTAGTTCAATAACCGTTCACCAATTAATCACAGAAAAAATTAAAAATAATTATTTTCTACGTTTTATTTCCTTTAAACGTGGAACATGAAAATTGTTATAACGGAATTATAATTTTTAATTATTTTTTTTGCTATCCCTACTTAAAAAAAACAGAAAATATATAAATCTAATATTATTTTACATAAAAATTAAAAAAAACAACGAAATAGATTGTTGTAAGATATTAATTTTAAATCATAGTGCATAAATATTTCCAATGTATACAAAATTACAACCAATGTTAATTATAAATACTGACAAAATTAACCAACGATGTAACAAAATATGTATTAACAATTATTTAGAAAAAACACAAAAGTTAAAATATTTAAAAAAAACATTACAAGATGTCCAATACAATAAAAATATAAATAAAACATGTCCTTATACATTTAAATACAAATTTTTTAGGTTATATATAAATCATTGTCTGACATTATAATAATGGTGCACGGCATTTGTGTTGTGTGAGGTGGGGTTTTCGAGCAAATGACTTAGAGCACGCATTACATTTGAAAGGTTTGACTCCAGTATGCACGCGTTCATGTATTGTGAGATTGGATTTATCAGAAAAAGTTACTGGACAAAAGTTACATTTGTAGGGCTTTACGCCGGTGTGCACTCGTTGGTGTTTTGTGAGGCTGGATTTAACAGTAAATGTCTTTGGGCACACGTTACATTTGTAGGGCTTTTCCCCGGTGTGCAAGCGTTGGTGTTTTATGAGGCTGTATTTTTCGGAAAAAGTCTTTAAGCACACATTACACTTGAAGGGCTTTACGCCGGTGTGCACGCGTTGGTGTTTTGTGAGGCTGCATTTAAGAGAAAATGTCTTCGAGCACACATTACATTTGTAGGGTTTTTCCCCAGTGTGCACTCGTTCGTGTCGTGTGAGGTCAGAACATTTAGAAAAATGCTTAAGGCAGATGTCACATTTATAGGGTCGGCTGATGTTCGCGTATGTATTAGTAAACTTATTGCGCTGTATAGTTTTGAGTTTTTGGGAACAGTGTTCATCAGCTGAACCTCGGTGGGATTTTAATAAATGTAAAGTTATATGTTTTTTTGTGTTATAAATTTTTAGACATAAATTACATTGGAAAAACCGCTGTTTTGTTATATCTTCATTGTTATACTTTGTTGCTGTTTGTTTGTTTTTATCTGTTTCAATCCTCGATTCGAAATAACAACCATCAGTGTTTTTATTCACTTCATTTCTCGTACGATCGTCACTACAACAAAACATTGTCGAACAATAAATTATAAAATTTTGAAAAAATATATCCTTTTCACAATTGTATAATATTATTATAAATTCTAATTTGATCTTTGTAAATGTATCAAATGTACAAAAAATACAGGCTAGTAAATTTTAATTGTCTGTTGAATGAATGTTGATGTACATTTATGTACGTTGAATTGGAAAATCGGTTACTAAGAAAACTCTTTATTATTGTGTGTACATATACGAGTATAGCTTACATTGTATTTTCGTTAAACGACAAAACTATTGATAATTTAATATATTAAATTGAACACTCAGCCTTACCTAAAAGTATTTTTGTAGTTTATTGTTTGCGAATCCAAAAGACCACCGTTTCCTTCAATTTCAACTTTTACTTTTGTATCAACGCAAGTTTCTCCAACACTAAAAAGTAAAATAAATATACGTATTAAAACTAAAAATGTTATAAAAATACCAGCAAACGAGCAATGAGTGCTAACATAGAATTTTTTACTTTCTACTACAAGAGAACAAAAAATATTATTAACAAAATAACCGGTATGAGCAACTTATATATATAATACAGGTTTTATATTATATTAACTGCAGAAATAGGAATGGAAGACCAATCAGCAACACCAAAAACATGGAAAGGCACTAGATGAGTATGTCCTATGTCACCAATGTTGTTTAATGTATATTTCGAACAACCAATCCAAGAAATAAAGGAATAGCTCAATAGACAAAAATAGGGGTGGAGATAAACTAGTAAAAAACTAAGGTTGCCAGAAAACACAACAAAGACACAGACTCCAAATTCAAGTGGGAAATAGCCATTCAGAACAAGTAAACATCTATATAATAAACCTAGGCAGTTGAATCACCAAGTGCAAGAGCACTAAGAAAATTAAAGCTAGGATAGCGCAGGCGAAACCCGCATTTATGAACTGCATGAAATTACTATGCTCCAGAGAGATGAGTATCCATAAGAGAAAACGATTAGTTAAAAGTATTTGTGTGGAGCGTGGCTCTATACAAATAATAGTCTTGGGTGATAAAAATAGCAGAAGAAAGATATTTAGAAAGCTTCGAAATGTGGTGCTGGCGCAGGTTGCTAATGGAGTTCCGTACCAATGACAGTGTACTTAATGAAATGGGAGAACTTAGAGGATTATTGAGATACTATAGTTTCAGCCTTAGACCGTAGATGCCATTCAAGTACCGGTCCTATTCTTAAAATATTTATTTAAGATTTATTACTTGTATTTTCTAACTCGGATCAACTAATCCTGTACTTAAATTATGTTATTAAAAATAGTCATATTTTAACAACATTTTAAGAACCCCAGATCAGACCAACCCAATTTCACAGCATACTTTTTTTCAATACCAAAAAATAACCATTTATTTTATTTTAATTATAAATAACATACAATATTGACATTTTCATGTCTTAGCTCTGGTACATAACCCTGGCGAATAACCGAAAAAGCCCATTTTTCAGCCGAGTCTGCAAACACGATAGAACATTTTCATGTCCGAATAAATTTCAGGATAAATAGGTTAGGTTAGTTAACGAGTCACACAAGTCGAAAGTTTCCAAAAAAATTTTAAAAGTACAATTGACGAAAGAAAGTAGTTTTTATATTGCATAAAATACATAAAATTAATATGCGCGATACAGTAATATCGTTGCGAATTTATACGAACAAGACAGCTAGACGTCGGATCTGGTTGGACGCTGTAGGGTGTTCATATTCTTTTGCTTGTTCTCTAAAATATGTAGAACTTTCTTCTCTTCATCTATATTCTTGAAGAGTGCGCTGAGTAGACTTTGGTGCCACTTGATCATTTTACCAGTTAGCGCAATCTCACGTCCCAAACTTGCAATGACTCTTTGACAGAGTTGTGTGTCAACGAGCTGTGAAAAAAGAGTTATAGTCTATTATAATAATAGTAATTTGGGAAAATTATTTATAACTATGCTCACTTTTGTGACGTGAAGCGCTTGTCGAATTGTAGGTCGGCGGGAGAGCAAGGTGGCGAAACGTACGAATGGTTTACGTCGCGAATTTCCATCTCTTCTGCGACATTCTTGGCAGGTTGTAATATCTTGCGTGCTCGGTATTCGCGCTGTATTTCCGCTCTTGTTTTCGGTGGTTTCTTTCGCTCATCTATCTGCGTCGTCGTAGGGTCCGCCGCATCAGGGTTATCAATCTTCAATATCTTGCGTGCTCGGTATTCACGCTGTATTTCCGCTCTTGTTTTCGGTGGTTCCTTTCGCTCATCTATCTGCGGCGTCGTAGGGTCTGCCGCATCAGGGTTATCAATCTCCAATTTTTTGCGCGCTCGGTATTCGCGCTGTCTTTCCGTGTTTGTTTTCGGTAGTTTCTTTCGCTCATCTACCTGCATCGTCGTAGAATCCGCCGCATCAGAGTTATATATCTCTATTTTTTTGCGCGCTCGGTATTCGCGCTGTATTTCCGCTCTTGTTTTCGGTGGTTTCTTTCGTTTATCTAGCTGCGTCGTCGTGGGGTCCGCCGCATCAGGGTTATATATCTCCAATTTTTTGCACGCTCGGTATTCGCGCTGTCTTTCCGTGTTTGTCTTCGGTGGTTCCTTTCGCTCATCTTTCTTTGTCGTCGTTAAGTCCGCCGAATCAGGGTTATCCATCTTCAATTTCTTGCGTGCTCGGTATTCGCGCTGTCTTTCCATGTTTGTTTTCGGTAGTTTCTTTCGCTCATCTTTCTTTGTCGTCGTTAAGTCCGCCGAATCAGGGTTATCCATCTTCAATTTCTTGCGTGCTCGGTATTCGCGCTGTCTTTCCATGTTTGTTTTCGGTAGTTTCTTTCGCTCATCTACCTGCATCGTCGTAGAGTCCGCCGCATCAGGGTTATATATCTCTAATTTTTTGCGCGCTCGGTATTCGCGCTGTATTTCCGCTCTTGTTTTCGGTGGTTTCTTTCGCTCATCTATCTGCGTCGTCGTAGAGTCCGCCGCATCAGGGTTATCAATCTTCAATATCTTGCGTGCTCGGTATTCGCGCTGTCTTTCCGTGTTTGTCTTCGGTGGTTCCTTTCGTTTATCTTTCTGCGTCGGCATTAGCTCCGCCGCATCAGGGTTATATATCTCTAATTTTTTGCGCGCTCGGTATTCGCGCTGTATTGCCGCTCTTGTTTTCGGTAGTTTCTTTCGCTCATCTACCTGCATCGTCATAGAGTCCGCCGCATCAGGGTTATATATCTCTAATTTTTTGCGCGCTCGGTATTCGCGCTGTATTTCCGCTCTTGTTTTCGGTGGTTTCTTTCGCTCATCTTTCTGCGTCGTCGTTAAGTCCGCCGAATCAGGGTTATCCATCTTCCATTTCTTGCGTGCTCGGTATTCGCGCTGTCTTTCCGTGTTTGTCTTCGGTGGTTCCTTTCGTTTATCTTTCTGCGTCGGCATTTGCTCCGCCTCATCAGGGTTCGTTAGTTGCAAATTTGGTATCGGATCAATGTTAATTTCCTCGTTGGATTGATCGGATCTATTATCTACTTTCTTACATACTCGGTTTCGCTGTTGTAGAAAGCGTTGATATTTTTCAGCGTCTGTTGTTTGTGACGAAAACGATGTATTGTTGACAAACGTCCAAAATTCATCAGAATCCATCTTGTAAGTAACACTATATTCCATACAATAATTATTAGCTACGTTATGTTAAGTACGTATTAGCTAAGTTATGTTGTACGTTCAACGTTCAAATTAGAACTAAATGATAAACTCAAAATAGTTTAATTCTCTATATATTAAACTATGTTAAGTTACTTTTGGCCAGAACATATAAAAGATCGTGAAGTTCCATGAAGCTTCCAGTTATAGCATAAGGCCAAGGAGATTGCAAAATTATGTACACTCAATGAAAAAAATCAATGTAGTGTTTATTATCTGGCTTAAAACAATTCATAGAGAAATTGGGCTCTTAAACTGTTTTGAATTTATTATTTAGTTCTAATTTGAACGTTGAACGTACAACATATCTCTTATCTCAAATCAGATAACAGCGTAACAGATTAACATTCAAAATAGATCCGAAATGGTCATTCCGATAATTGTCTTTCGTCGTCGCTTCGTAGTTTTTGTTACATTGCGGCGCGTAACAGCGTAACGCTTTTTTGGTAACACATTTTTTCGGTTATTTACCGGCTAAATCTCACCCTTATCTACTACCCCCTATCCCTACTCAGATTTGGTCTACTCTCTTATACACTACTACTCAAAAGTGTATTTTTTCTAATTATTTTATAAAACTGAAATATATACATCAACAAGTTCTGTTCAAATGTTTACTAGATAAGAAAAATAAATGGACAGCTAGAATTTAATTCTGTCAAAGAAGACATAATAAATGCCGCCAATCTAAACTGAATCAAACGCTTAGCACCTATTTACCCATGGATAACTCAAGATTTTGAACAAAGAAACATATACAGACAAAAAGAGACTTGTAACAATACCGAAAAAAATAAAATATTAAAACACCAAAATATAGGGTTTAGTTGGCAAAGCCTATAGTTTAAAAAAAACATATATTTACAGAGTCGTTACTATATATCGCCGCCCGGTAAAACAATGAAACAACTGCAATAATTGAAATTTAACAAGAGAACCAAAAAACCAAATTATTTTTCACTAAAATGTTTATAATTCATGAATGCACAATTAATTATTACAACTACAGTTACGTCGTTTTTCTACCTAATACGGTCGCTGTATCTAAACATATTGAAGCATTTAGCCCATTTAACCAAATGTTGTCGTTGTGTCATTGTTCTACTGGGGCGGCGATATGTAATACACACCCTTTTGCAAAATATATTTTCATATTAAAAAGTTCCTTACTCGTATTTGTTTTCGACATCTGTTGTAATTGAACATTCATCAATCACAGGAATACAATTGTGCGATGTTGTAATATGATGTTTCAATTGATTTTCGGATGTAAATGATTCTAAACACAAATCGCATTTTTCGTCAGGCAAGTTGTTTGTTACTTTCATGTCCATAGGTATCGTTTCTTCATGTTGTATCAACGATCCAAAGCAATAATCTTGCATTTCATCAAATTCAGGTTGAACATTAATGCCGTCGATCGTATGGTTATCTCTACAAGTAAAAAATAACAAATGTTATACCTAGTTTTTTTAAATAATATATAAAAATTGATTATATTTTACATAATATAATTTTTGGTGTAGGCATACAAATTTTCAAATGAAATCTTGTTTTATTTATTATTATATGTATAGAGTTCAGATTATGAGAAAATGTTAATGAAAACTGATATATATACATGAACAAGTTTTGTTCAAATGTTTACTACATAAGATAAATATGTCTAGAATTTAATTCTGTGAAAGAAAACATAATAAAAGCCTCCAATGTGAACTGAACCAAACGTTTAGCATCTATTTACCCATGGATAACTCAAGAAATATTGATTTTGAACAATGAAACATATACAGAAAAAAAGAGACTTGTAACAATACCGAATAAAATAAAATAAAACACTAAAATAAAGGGTTTAGTTGGCAAAGCGTATAGTTTAAAAAACATATATTTACATAGTCGTTACATACTAAATATGTAATACACTTGTTTACAGAATATGTTTTAATACTAAAAAGAGCCTTACTTGAATTCGTTTTTGACATCTGTTGTAATTGAACATTCGTGTTTAACATTAATCCCGTTGATCATATTGTTATATCTACGAGTAAAAAACATCAAATATTTCAGTTTTTTTTAATATTATATGAAAATTGATTATATTTTACATAATATTATTTTTATTGAAGGGATACATAGAGTTTAAAGATTATGATAAAATGTTATATAAATGCAAAATTTTAAAAGTTAATCACTATGTATAAAATTTAAGTATGTTCGCATGTGAAGTTAGTGATGAAGACAAAAGTGTAAAATGTGGGCGAGTGAGTGAGAATTAAATAAGCTGCACAGTGCTCTCCACCTCATGGCTTCATCACAGATTAGATAAAGTTTTATCTAATCTGTGGTTCCATCTTAAAATGCTAATAATGCGAGAAGTAAAAATTCAAACATGGTTAACGAACAGTCATAATTTATGTTATATTTCTCTATAATAGCTCAATCTTATTATATGTTAATTGCAATTTAATTGATTTATTAGGAAAGGCAATTTTGGTATTTTGAGATTTAAAATCGATTATAAGATAAAAATTAGTTATATTTTACATAAAAATATTTTAAGTTTAGGCAAAAAATGATCAAGTAAAATCTTGTATTTATTCAATATTTATATATTAATTATAATGGTCACGAACATTCATCAATCACAGGAATACAATT